ACCGCTCTGTCATCCCGTTGGTTTGTGGGTGGTACGGTGAAGTTCGCCGTCTCTGGATGCCCCACTTGTCCAACACTGACTTAAACGCTCTTGACTCGAAGCAGGGCCCTTGGTCCGTGATGATACACTGTGGGATCCCATACCTTGCAGGCACATTGAATTCGAATACTTGCGACACTGTCTCGCCTGTTTGGTCCTTGATTGGTATGGCTTCCACCCATCGAGTGAAGTGGTCAATCATCACTAGAATGTATCTGTTTCCTGTTCGACTCACTGGTAGGGCCCAAAGACGTCCAGTCCCCAACACTGAAGTGGCTCACCAACCTCCATCGATCGCATCGGCGGTCTCGGGGACTCCATCTCCCGACTCGTTTGGCAGTTTGGGCACTCCCGAAGGTATGCCGCGACGTCCTTCCTCATGGTTGGCCAAAACACTCGCCTCCGCAGCAATTCAAAGACCCGCTCGAATCCCATATGGGCGCCATCATGAGTTATGCGCATCACACGTTCTCGCTGATTTGGTGGAACAAAAGGCACTTTCCGTCCGTCTATCGCCAACACCACGTTATCGTTTTCGACCTTCAACCTGTCCCAGATCTTGAGGAGTTCCTCCACCTCCTCCGATGTAGCCTCCGGGTTGGTGCCAGCCCGTAAGTGCGAGCACCAAAACTTCACGAATTCATCTGTCCTTTGATCTCCCAGCAGGTTCCTCTCCCCCATCGCGATCGCACGCACCGGTATGGCATTGTCTGGCATGATGTCGTCCAAACACGGGCGTGACAACATATCTGGCAATACATTTTGCGTTCCATCCACGTGCTCAATGGTGAAGTTGAATTCCTGCAATCGGTAGGCCCATCGCGCAAGCCGTCCCCCGCGGGTCTTTCGCCGTCATCAACCACGAGAGCGGTTTGTGGTCAGTGACGACCCGGAATTCATTCGCCAGTAAGTAATTTCTCCACTTCTCTAACGCCCACACGATGGCCAAGCATTCTTTCTCCGTTGTTGGAATACTTCTGCTCCGCCCCCGTCAGCACTCTGCTCGCGTACTCCACCACCCCAGCCGGTTGAGACAAAACCGCACGATGGCCACTTTGCTTGCGTCGACAGACACAGTGAACCTCTCACCAGGATTGGGTAGCCGTAGACATGTCGGGGCTTCTGCTATGCCTGCCTTTAGATGGTCAAAGGCCTGATCCGCTTCAGCTGTCCACACAAAGGGCACGTCCTTGCGAAGCAGCTTTAACAACGGGCTGACCTTCTCTGCAAACTGGGGCACAAACTTGGAATCATATGCCACCACTCCCAAGAACGAACGGAGCTGACGCTTGGATTTTGGTTTTGCGAAGCACTTGATCGTCTCGCGTTTCTCCGGAAGTGGATGGACTTGACCATTACCCACGATGTGCCCCAAGCATACAATCGACTTTTGGGCAATCTGCGACTTTTTACGACTGAGTTTCAAACCAGCTTCATCTA